TTGACTTGCCTCTGTTTAATAAACAAATAGACAAACGCTACGTGTACACCTCCTTGTGTGTGTGTGCCTGCGGCTACGTATGCAGTCGGTTGGGCTGACAGCTGTGCGTGTGAATTAAACGGACATTTTGCGGTAAATGGCATGTCCCTCGGTGACTTGATGCCGTTAGTGACTCTGACTGCCGCAACAATTTCAATGGTAGCTATCGTGTTGTTGCTGTTCTTTTTGTTGGAAAAAGAGTCGCCACCGTGACAACATCAACATTATACTGTTTGTTTTTGTTGTTGTAGTTTTCATGTAAGTGGAGGAGAAAAATTGTGAAGTCAAAGTGTTAAACTCGATTCGAGTGAGTCAACTTTAAGTGTCACTTTATTATACTCAGTTCAATTATACTTGGCTTTCATGGTTGCACGACTCTCAGTTGGCAAGTGGTGAGGGTTGCCACACTTTAACTATAATCATTATGGGTGCAATTATTGAGGTATGAGATGAGTGGTCACAAACTTTCTATAAGTTTGGAGTGACTTTAATTGAAATCAGAGAAGCTGAAATTAAGTAAAAGCTGTAATTGTGATTTAAGTGAAAAGTACAATAGTTGTGTGTTCAAAAAGTTAAGTTAAGTTATACCGTTACGTTGAGAAATGGTTGAGGTTACGTTTTAAACTTTGATGTTGACACCTGCTGTGTTTTAGCGCGGTGTTTCAGATATGCTAGGCCAACTGTCACACTCTCAAACAGAAGCCCTAACTTTTCTACCACTTTTCCTACCTAACTTTCTACCACTGTTAAATTATTGATTGAAGTCAAAAAAAGTTGACTTTAAACTCTGATTTCGAAAAATCTAAACTTAACAAGTTACAACCAACTAATAAGTATTGTGAGAAACGAAAGAACCAAAGCTGGACCAGATGAAATCACCGCAGTTCTTTAGTCAGTGCCTGAAGTTAAGAAGTCATCGGATGATCAGTAATTTTTATGTTGCCTGAGAAAAGTTATCAGGTTCAGTTTTACAAGTCTTCAGTAACAATAAATTTTGTAATAAAAACCTATCACCAATGACCAGCTTAACCTATGGAGACTCTGCAACTGAGATCTTACACAACCGGTAAGCAGTTCAAAGTGAATGTGCCGATTATTTGTCATTGATCACGGTTTGGTACTGGTGCGATATTAAAGAGGTACAAGGTGCGCTTATTTCTCAAAGGAATTAGTTTGGTTCAAAATGAATAAAAGGGGTCTTTCGAATCTAATGAATTCAGTAAGTGTGGCTATCTGTGATTTAATTTCGTCGTTTCAGTTCTAGTAATTTTGTTGTGCGTCGAATTATGGTTAGCCGGGCTAATATAATCGAACAATAATCGACGATCGCGAAAGTTTTTCTATGAGACTGGCTTTTTGTGAGTTTGGCGGAGAAATTTCTACTATGAGACAATCATCTATTTTCAACAATTGAAGTGTCTGATGGAAGCAATCACCCAGAAGCGGTCAACTTTCGCCAACGAGAGAGGAATTGTGTTATATCAGAACAATGTCATGCCATATACATATCCCCAAAAGCTTGATTGGAAAGTTCTTTAGCATACATTTTATAGCCCGGTTATAGTTAAATAATATAAAATGCCACAGTCCAATACTGCTTTAAGTACTAAAAACTTATAACTGAATATTTAAGTACACATAAGAGTATCCGGCCGAGTGGTGGCTTTGAAACTGAGCAAAGAATCATCAAGCCCAAAAGCATTTCTAACGCACAAATTAAGGAATTCTATATACATATGTAATATATATACATATATAACCTAGATTATTTGTACACGCTTGAGCTACTTCCGTGTCGTTGAGCGACAATGCATGGTGATAATTTGCCGCAAATTCTAAGTAATTACAAATCACAGAAGAGATTTTACTTTAGTTTTTCTCATTTCTTGCCAACTAACGTGGACTGCAGTAAATTGCCGATGATGGAGCGTTGGGTTGACGCCTTAAGTTAGACGTACTCACACACACATGCAGGCATAGGTGTGTTGCCATATATTTACAAGCATAAATCAACAGTCTGCTTAAGTGAACATCATTTGACTCCACTTAAGTGTATACTAAATAAATGCAAATTACACACACGCACACAGTAAATATGTGTAAATATGTATTTGTGGCATTAAATTGTGTTTGCTCGCTTGTCGTGTGTTTGTGTGCGGATTCGAAGGCAACTGGTGTCCCATCAGCAATTAAAGCATATTTGCAACGCATCCCCAAAAGCCAACATGGCGCACCCAGCACCATCGGTGTCCAATTTCTTTGTTTTTATTTTTATTTGTTTGTGTACTTTTTATTTACTTTGTCGTGTCCTTCCTGCTTATTAGCGCTCATTGCTCTTTTGGCGTAATTTGTTGGCTGCGCTTCCCGCATGCGGCGCCTTCTTCCTGCAACCGACGCTTCCACACGACACTTCCTGCCTGCCTGCCGAGGTGCTTATACTATAACTTCATGTGCGCTTTATTGTTGTTGTAGTTGTTACGTCTTTTTTTTGTCGTTTGCGCTTGCCTTTGCCTGCTGAACTGCTGCGGCTGCCGCAGTGTGGTTCATTATTACAGGAGGCTAATTAATTTCATTAGTTGGCAGAAAACAAGGTGAAGACAACCACAATTACATACACACAACCAACAACAACAACAGCAGCAACAATGACAACAAAATATGACCGCAGCAACAGCACCAGCGGTGATGTTAATGATGCTCATGCACTGCTTTGACTCATGAATATATGCGCAAATGTTTGTGTATGTGCGCGCTTTTGCTACATTATGTAGCATACCTTCTGGCACATCAGCCGGGTGCACACACACACACACGAGCGCACGAAAGGGCCAGAAGCCAGTCAACGGCACATGACAGTCAGCAAAGACAGCACAAACGTAGCTGGAGTAAGTCATGAATGCTACACGCCGCCGGAAATGTAGATACTTATACCGTTATGTATTATATATTTGCATGTGTGTGTGTGTGTAATTATGGTTATTAATGAATGGAATGAATGTATTCATGTGTATTACATTTGTATCTAATAGCCAGCCAGTTTGTGTGTGCATCTGCCTATGCTTGTTTGTATTGGTATGCATATTTAATTGCCGGTTGTCTTCAAACAACCTCGGCGCTACAACAACAATGGCAATGCTAACTACAACAGCAATATTATTTATATTTTATTAGTTAAAATATGCGGAATAGATTAGCATGATTGAATTAATTTACATTTAGGCTAATTAAGGGAAACAGAGATTGGTAAAATGCCAGAAGAAATTAATGGAAGAAAAGCTGAGTCGTTGTGCGTGGAGGGTGCTTATGACCACATTATTCAGTCAGCTCTAATGATTTCACTCTTCATTTCAATCTTGGTCACTTGCAGTACACAAAAAAGATTCCTTTCCATTTCTGAGCTTCCTTTATCGCTGCTATTAGTCAATGGGGTGAGCCTATATTAAGAGAATCGGCTAAAACTCATAAGAAGAAGACAGCGTAACACAGCTGAAAATGCCTTGTGTTTTTAGGAAAAAAAATTACTGTCTTTGAGTCCGAAAAAAAACTACTGACATCGAGAACCTAGGGTCAAGTTAAAGACAGTTTGTTTCTATTATTCAATAAGCTATACCTTTAAGAGGTATTCTAGTTTAGAGACATGAATTCTAGGTAATTTTTAAAGTGTCGTAAAAAAAGGCAATCATTATTTTAATTTTTTACCATTTTATAATAGTAAAAATTTAAATTTCGGGATGAGGCTAATTCATACTCGAGAGAGACCTATTAAAAAGATTCTCAGAAATGTTCAAGTAAATCGGTTAAGTAGAACTCGAGAAATAGTGGGTATCGTACTGAGAAAGTCTGGTCTGAGAAAAATGCATTTAAAGTTTCGTGTAAAATCTTTCGTGCGATTAGACCCAGTCGAACCAGTTTAGAAGTCTATATCTCCGAAAATAATTAATTTTTTTTAATTTAAAAATACTCTTGTAGACACATTCTTAAATAGTTAAAATTTTAAAATAAAATTAGTCGATTTTTTTTTTAATTCTACACTAGAATTCTCCTTAAACTAACATACCAAAATTTTAAATAAATTTTTTTAGTAGTTTTTGATTTACAGCTTCCTAAAGCATAGTCGCTCAGTTCCAACAGCTCCATCACTTCATCTTTTGAGGCGTTTTTCTCAAAACTACACGAGTGATTACTCAATATTTTTTCTGCATGCTTTGTTCATAATTCTATCAATGTTTCTATTGTTATTTTATACCTAGCAGTTTTTTATCTGATCAAAAGTCGAAATTTTGCAGGCGAAACCCGACCAATATTTTATGTTAAATTCAATTTTTTTTTAAACGCCGTCATTTTTTAATTTTTTGTTTCTTTTTTGATCGTAGATCACTGCACGGACAATATTTTCGAATAGAGACTTTTTAAGGTTTCAGGATTTGATATAACCTTTTCTGTCTCAATCTAAAGTATTAAGCAAAAGTAGCTTGAGAGCTGCTCTATTAATGCTTTTCAGTGATCTTTTATCTCAAGATGAAAAAGTTAAAGCCAAAAGCTTGCTTAATACCATAACAATGGAGTCATAAATCACATACATCGAGCTCTGTTTATAGCAAAGATTTCATAAACTTATTGAGAATTGCTAATGAGTGAGCGAAAGGAATGAAACAAAAGGAGTACGTAGGTTAACTTACTATGATTAGTGTTTTATTTGAGTGTAGCACTACATAATCTCCCAACTATCAATCTGAATCAAAGTGTTAAAATCTTACACTGACTAAAATAAATTAAGACAATAGCGGGAGATTATAGAAAAAAAATTAAAATGTAAAAAGCTTGTAAGAATTTAAGGAGCTCTATAAGAAGCAGTAACGTTGTTTGATTAGTTTAATAAACTAATGTTACTTATGTACTTACATTTAGTTCATTTCTTACCTAACCTTACTAATCTTATCTTATCAAAATTAATGGCTTACCTTGTATGAGCCCAAATTCTTAACAGAACACGCCAATTTGACATTTCGGCCCGCTGGCACTGTAATATTATCAATGACATCCGTAAATTCAGGATCTTCGGAGTCAACTGCAAGAAAGAGAGAAAGAGAGAGTAAAAAATAGAAAGATAAAACGAAGAGCATTAATAAAAGTCAGAGAAAATGTTAAGGATTTGGTAATAAATTATCACACTTTGTATAACTGTATTTTTTGCATGTAGTAAGTACGTCTTTCTGTATCTATATTTTAATTTATGTGAACACTGCAAATGCCTCTGAGGCATAAGAAGATATGCTGCTAGTGTCTAACCACAATAACTCTCCATTTAATGAATTGTGGCAAACGAACAGCTGTAGGGCGACTACGCCAGTCATTATTTCGTTAATTATCTTCACTTAACATTTATCTCATTGATGTTTTTGTTGCAGGAATATTCATATTTCCAGTGAGCAGCCAATGCTGGCTTAGCTTGGAGGTTGAAATTAACTTGGTTTATTCGTCTGCTCTAAGATTAATTGCAGGCGAAGGTTGGCTTAAGTTAATCGTTTATAGTTAAACGAGATGGGGGGATGTATTGTTATCTCGCTCGCTTGCTCCAGGGAGCCTAATATTTTAGTGTTTTTTGTGGAGAACTTTTTCGTTCAGGGAGGGAAAGTAATAAAAATGAGTAGTCTTTACTTATGAGTAAGTAAGAGCGATGTGTTGAAGATCAAAAGGCATTACAGTAAAGGTTAACTATTTTTATCAGTTAGAGGTATTCTACTTGTAAGATAAACTTTTTTCATACTTTTGCGATTGAGAGAAAAGCAATGAAGTCGAGCACAATAATGAAAATGGGGGTAAAATACTTCTGCTTATGGTTAAGTTGCGTTATACTGGACTGCAGGTACGCCATACTTCGTACATCTAGTCGCTTAAACTGCGAAACGCCTAGATATCTAAGACTTGTTCTAGATAAGGCTGGTCAGAAGTGTAGAAGGTGTTCCAGCATCGCTCTCATGGCCCCTATCCTGTACTTTCTGCATATGTGGTCGTTACTAATGCCCATCCGCCCCGAATGTGATGCCAGTAAGTTGTGACCTGTCATTAGGCCAACAACCCTCCTGCTGTCCTTTCGAGTCCGTGTGAGTTAAGCGCATGACCATGGCGATCCTAAATATTCTTAAAGTACTCCATCTCACTCTTATCCATCTGCCAGCTTTTCAGGAAATTTCACTGTGTATCGTTTTTAGGGACTTACGTATTTCCTTTACTGGTTCGGTAGCCAGTCGTTTCCCGGCAGCCACTACATCTACTCCCTTTTAGCTTCTAATGATACTCTCTGCCTTCGTGCGATGTGAGAAAATGGCCTTAATTTCTTAGCCCTTTATGTTGTTTCCTGCGTTTTTAGCCATCTGAGTCACTTTCCTGATGACAAAAACTTCCGCCTAGAAGATACTGCAGTACCAACAGAAATATGCAAAGAAATAGGTCATGGCCACGCTGGTATTTTTCTTTTCTCAAATCGAAAGCCAGAAATTAAATTTAAGTCACTTCAAAAATGTCAAGAGCAGATAACTTGTGCGCAACTCAACACTATTTTCAAAAAAAAAAATTGCAGCAATTAACACCCTAAATTTAAAAACTGAGCAAACCTAGGCAAACTCGCCACAAAAATTAGGTTGACCCACTCCAAACAGCCCACTAACCACGAACTATAAAATTTAGTAAGCCAAACAACAACAAAAATGAAAAGCCTTCAAACGAGAAATGAGAAATTCCGCCCCAAAATAAGTTAGACCAATTATCATAGCAATAATGGTATGCCAAGTTAACAGCTGTTAGCTGCCAGTTACCGGCAGCCAGCCGTGGACGCAGCAGGGGAGCAGCAGCAGGAAGTGACCCAACAATAATACAACAACAATGTACACAACAACTATATATAAATATATATACTAGGCAACTAAATCAACAACTAAAATAGCCATATAACAGTAACGCTAACACAACAATAACAGCAATACTGGCAATACCGACAATAAGAGCCCACAAGAGCACAGGCACAACAACAACGACAACAAAAACTTTCGGCATGCAAAATGAACACTTCATCAAGTGTTTAGCCATTTCACTTGGTTTCGTTGCTTCGTTTCTGTTGTCGTCGCAGGAAGCCCGCTTAGTTGTTGGTATTGTATTTTCCGCTTGTTTGCGAGCAATGATGACGTAAAGTTTTTGTTTTATTTTCATGTTCATTATTTTTATTTTTGATTTTCTCGTCCCCGTTGTTGTTACCTCATCTTGCCGCCGGCTTGCCACTGTGCCCCGGACCGTGCGGATAAGCTAAATAGTTGCCTCCTGCTTGTTGTGTTTTGAATATTTTAGAGCTGATTGGTATGCCTGGTTGGTTAGCCAGTGGCACGTCTGGTCTGGTCGCTTGATGGCCCCACTGTTGCGCAGTTTGTCGGCTCCTTGTTGGCTTTAGTCCTTGTTTTTCATTTTATGGCTGTTGTTGTTGTTATGTTGGTTGTTCGTTCGCTTAACTATTTCTGTCCTTGACGTGCTGCTACACAATAGTTTAAATCATGGTTATTATGTACACAAATCTGAGACCATTTTCAATGCTGATATTGAATATTAGCCGAAGCGCAAAGCAAACTAACACACCGGCAAGCAAACATACAAGTATATACACAACTGAACGCACCTAAGCACTCTCCGACAGACAGTGTTGAAGTGAAGAAGTGAAGTAATAAAGTGCGCTCATATAAATACTTATGTGGATGAATAATAAGATATATCTTATTTAGCAGGAGATATGCTTAAAATTGTTCCGGCGGTATACATACCCCGTAGGAAACGATACGTTAGGTTAAAAGTCGATCCAAAACGGATCTCACTTGAACAGCTGAGAACGCCAGTCTGTCAAGATACCGAAATATGTACTCCTAAGTATTGATGAAAAAAATAATCTCTCGAAAGTTGACAAAGCGCTTTGAGGCTTTCACAAATTTGTTGTGACCGGCCAAAGATATGACTGGCGTGATATTTCAACCTCAGTCTTGCAAAAGCTGGATAATGGAGGAGAAAGTGCCTGGATGCCTTCACCTCACCTTCTTCCCTACAACTTTGAAAGTTAGAGTTCGACAAACTTTTCAGCTTTACCGTATAGACGCCTATTAGGCAACGACTAGCTACAGCTCCTCCTACCGTACTGAGAGCAAGTAGTTCAGTAGATGTTCTACATTTTGCATTAGGCCAGAAGGATTTCGCAGTCACAAAGGAGCTAGTTGTTGACCAATGCCAGCTAAGCTCAAGCGGAGATCTACGGTCCGGCGATAGATGCAAGAAATCGGAAACCAAACTCGTTCATAATCCGATGTAATCGGGACGAGGATGACCTCTCTTGAGAGCTCATCGGATTTGCAGTTTCCCACGATTCCGTTATGACCAGGCACCCAGACGAGCCTAATAAAAAAATAGCTTAATGCTATCGATAGTGAAGTCAGACACTCCTTAACAAACTTTAAGCGAGCAGCGAGCGAGCTCAAAACTCAAAGCTAGATTTGTCGCTCTTCATGGGAGCATTCGCCCACCTACCTGAAAGAGGCTTCACTTCGGAGCAATGTGTACATGTACTGCTACCTTAGTGACAACTTCCACTACTTGAAGAACGCTACATTGATCGGGTAGTTTAAAACTATGCATGATTAAGAGCTCCTTACAGAAAACTACACCTCCAACCTTCCCTCTGAGTTTCGACCCATCGTTGAAAAAGTTCACTGCGCTTTTTCTCCAGTGGCTTCACCCCATCCACATATCCCTTGTCGATATGTGAGCAGATCAGCAGATCTACAAAGCAGTGATCTAAGTTTTCAGGGTTGCAGACGAAGAAGAATTACAGAATGTCCTATTGTAGAGTCTTTCATGTACCGAGCTTGCCTGGGTCTTACAGCTACATTCGCTTCGCAGCCAATGTACTTGCCAATTATATCGACGGACGCCATTTGAAGATTGGATTCTTAGTTTTATTCCTAGTGCATCACAGATGCCAATAAAAGCCGCTCTTTGGACACGTTTCTCTAAAAAACGCTTTAAATATTTCAACATTTGGAGGGATTTTCCGTTATAACTGACATTTGAGCCTGCAAGGTTTTGTACAAATAATTTTTAAAAAGAGGTGGGTCCAAAATTTTAAGCTGATCGATTTTTAATGGTTTGTTTGTCCAGTCTTCGGAAGGCTGAAAACATCATCAGAGGGCTTTATCTCGAAAATCTCTTAGAGATTTAAAGATAGTTACTAGATCTTGTTAAATGGTGAAAATAATACAAATTAACGCATTCACTGTGAAGCTCGGAGACCATACATTACTGAACTACCTTGGTCAGGGATGCTTTTCCTTCAATATATGGGACAATGTTTTAAATAAATGTACTTCATAAACATACCTTCCCGAATTGTTATGTCAAAATTTTGGTTTTCGCTGAAAATTCATACGAAATAGGTGGCAACTCTGCTTAAGACGATTTTAAGCCAAAATGGCCACAATAATTACTTTAATAAAATCTTTAAGTTTATCTAAAATATTTAGAACGATTTGTGACTTTTATACAATAGCAAAAGTGGCAACCCTAAGGCAAACTAGGTATATGAAATTTTTTGAAAAAAGGGGACTAACATGATTTAAAATATTCTAAATGAAAGACCCATTATGTCGCATCATTTCCTGCCGGTGACAGACGGCCTGAGAAAACAACAAATCTTTTCTCCTATAAACCAACACACACACACTGTGCATATACAGCTTATGTTGCGGCGATTGTAGCAAATAATTAATTGCAATAATATTGAGTTGTTGACTGAATGGGCTTGTGCTTGCGGATGCACACACAACCACACAAACAGGTATATTAACAAACAACACAACAAATGCTTGGCCACAAATCTCAAATGTACACAATCCACTCACACACATACACAGTAATGTATATTATTGTATCACATGAGCTGCTTAATAACAAGACATTTGCCTTGCCCACAAGCCGGCCCACCAGAACGCCCTGAATTCGGCAGGATAACGGCAGCAAGCAAAACAAGGACCTGCTACCTTG